CCCCAAAACCCCAAAACCCCAAAACCCCTCATTCAGGCAATGGTTTGACAAAAATAGGATAGTAATTAAAGTTTAATTTGATTGTTTATTTTAAGAATAAACTTAATTATTATTCAATTCTGAAGTTTATTTTCTGATGCGAAATTTTAAAAACATGCTAAGTATGTACTTCGAAACATTCATTATTCTTAATATTCTGAATGGTCTACTTTTATCTTTTTCCGATTCACCTCTATGTACTGCTTATATTCCTTATTTTCTAGCCAGACATTTAAGTAGTGATATATAAATGAATACTAGTCACGCATCTACACTAAATGAGCTCGTTGCTCTCTAATTTATCTTATAGTAGAGAATACTGAGAATTTAACATTATCTAACTGAATGCCATTAACCATTTATTGCATTATTTTTATTTATAGATGTGCTAAGCCGATTGTTGTTCCTGTACGACCAATACCTGCACTACAATGAAACATGCATTTAAAATTATTATCAGTATTTAGCAACAACCATTCTGTACACATATTTATGACTTACTAGAATTCCTTCATAGATTCACCAGATGGAACATCATGATCAGGCCATCCCATGTAATGCAATTATATTACTTCCCTTGACTAACCGTCGAAAGTCAATTTAAATGTTCTCTTTATTAGGAATTTTCCTAAACTCTCAACCTTGATTGTTGAAATTTTAAAGTTTTCTAAGAAAGAGTGACTTTTATTTTCTTCAACCCAGTACTTATCACATTTCTATCTTCCTCCTTCAATTAAGTTGCACAGAGCGAGTATAAGAGACACTTTTTCTTGATTAATCATTTACCAAAAATGAAAAACAGTATTATTCATCGGTCCTTAAGCAGCAATAAGTTTATTCTTATGTTTTTTTAATGGGCCCTATTACACTTTAGTCAAGTTAATGGTAGTTTACATCGACATAGTTAGCGTTAATGTAGTTGTTTCCACGACCATCATCTTATAGAACGATCCTTGAATCATTGTCTTTTAATTGGTCAGTAACCTAATTAATTCTTACAAGGAATAATATCGGAATATCTGTTAAACGGTATTGTCTCTTTCGGTTAATGAAGTTTAACTTTATGATCCTTAGTGTCAGTAATTTTATCCAGTTCTTCAAATTCTTGATCAGATTCATTAATAAGAGATATGATGTTTTCAGTAAAATATTACTTGGTTATTTCCTGCTCATAACCCTCAGCCTTTTCTCTTCTAACAGCAAATATAAATGTCAAATTAATCGTACTAACGCATATACTAGTAAGAAATAGAAGAAGTATCAAGCGGTTTGAGTTCATTCTTGAGTATTTAATCATACTTAGCATGCTAAGGTTCCTAATACTCTGTTTTTGCTTCAATTATCTGCTATTAGTGATTTTTATATTTTTTCTCTTCCTTTTTAGAACAACCTACACCCATATTTTCTCCTCGGTTCTCCATTTATTATTAATTTGAATAATTATTATAATTTAATGATGATATCTATTTCAATGAACAAATTTACTAATTCCGGGGTTTTGGGGTTTTGGGGTTTTGGGG